CAAGGCGTCGCCCAAGGCCTCACCGGCGCAATCGGCTACACCCCCTCATCCGCCTCAACCACCTCTCCCGCCAAACCGGCTGCGAAATCCTCGGCAAAGCCGAGTTCATGAACCCCGGCGGCTCCATCAAAGACCGCGCCGCCCTCTATGTAGTCAAAGACGCCGAAGAGCGCGGCCTCCTCCGCCCCGGCGGCACCGTCGTCGAAGGAACCGCAGGCAACACCGGCATCGGCCTCGCCCACGTCTGCCGGTCTCGCGGCTACAAGCTCGTCATTTACATGCCCGACACCCAATCCCAGGGGAAAATCGATTTGCTCCGGTTATTGGGTGCAGAGGTCTACCCCGTCCCAGCGGTGGCGTTTGAAAACCCGCAAAACTACAACCACCAGGCCAAGCGCCACGCGGAAAGGCTGGATAATGCTGTCTGGACGAATCAGTTCGACAATACCGCCAACAGAAGGGCGCATATCGAGACGACGGGCCCAGAGATTTGGTATCAAACACAGGGGAAGGTGGATGCTTTTACTTGTGCCACTGGTACGGGCGGGACTCTTGCCGGGATAACGAGGTACCTCAAAGACAAGAGCAACGGACAAGTGAAGAGCTTTTTGGCGGATCCCCCAGGGAGTGTGCTGCACAGCTACCTCCAATCGGGCGGGAAACTGATTGAAAGATCGGGGTCGAGCATCACGGAGGGGATCGGGCAGGGGAGGGTAACGGATAACCTGGCCCCGGATGTGGAGTTGCTGGATGGGAGCTTGCATATCAGTGACGAGAAGAGTATCGAGATGGTGTACAGGTGTTTGGATGAGGAGGGGCTGTATCTTGGTGCCAGCTCCGCGCTGAACGTCGTCGCCGCCAAGGAGGTGGCAGAGAAGCTGGGCAAGGGGCATACCGTCGTGACTGTCCTTTGTGATGGCGCCTACCGGTATGCAGACAGGTTGTTCTCGAGAAAGTGGCTCGAGAGCAAGAAGTTGCTTGGTGCCATTCCGGAGCATCTCCAAAAGTACATCGTCCTCCCATAACCACCCCGAACCATAGACAAAAACAAAAACAAAAACAAAACCAGAGAAATATCGTTACAAGTAGATACTCTTACATATGTACTGTACATAATTGGGAAATATGTGTCATATTTACTCCTTCCCCCTTTTTTTCGAGGGAAAAAGATGGGGGGGTGTTCGTCAAGCTGCTCATGGGATCAATCCCGCCTTCCGCTTCTCCAGCTCCTTGTTCTGCCTCTTGGCCTCGTCCGCCTTCTTCTTCGCCAAGAGTTCCTCAGAGTTGAAGAGCCAAAGGTACATGACCTCTCCCTTCGCTGGCAGCCGCTCGTCATACTCATAAGCCTGCCTTATCTCATTGTCCAACGCGTCGGCCCTGTTCTGCAGCCTCATCGAGAGTCCCGGGTCCACCACCTTGGTGGCCATCTGCAGGCCGTGGAGCACAGGCGACACATGATAAAGAAAGTCGTCGCGATCGAGGAGATACTTCACGTTTTGCGGGTCCTCATACGCCGCATCGGGCTGCAGGTCGAGAATGCCAGTGTTCTCGGGCCAGAAGTGAATCAGCTGCTCGGCGTACTGCGCCACCTTGCCATCGACATCCTGGCCGTCCTGACTTTTCACCGCAAGAGTGGCAGCGAGGTTCAGTCTGAGGCCGAGGAACATGGGTTCGTGGTAGAACGGCCGTTGGGTCTTGGACCGCTCGCTGGGCCGGTGCCCCTCTCCCTCGAACTCGAGCAGGTCGATGACGTTCTCGGTTTGCTTGAGTGCCTTTCTTGTGGGATCGGCCTCGAAGCCCACCTCGACTGCTCTTGTCTGCATCGCAACGAGCAGATGGGAGAGCCTCTCGGGTGTGTCGAGCTTGAAGCCTGTCAGCTCCACCTGCTTGGCGCAGTTGATGATGGCGTCGAGGCGGTCTTTTTGGTGCGCTTTTCGGATGATATGGAGGGCGAGATCATCGGAGAGTTTGCGGTTGGCCCGCTTAAAGCCTTTCAACACCAAATGGAGGTCCCTATAGTCCTCGTGTTCCATGTGGCTGACGGCCTGTCTCACCAGCTTCGATGCGCTTGGGATATCCTTCAGAGGATCTACATAGCCGAATTTGTGAATTACACCGTCGATTTCCATGGTGATGGGGTCGTTTCGGAGCTGCTCTTTGTATCTCGTTTTGGTGAGCTTTCGTTGCTGTTCTATGCTCAGGTAGGAGGGGAGAACGATCTTGTTGTAGAGGGTGTCCAGCCGCTCCTGGAGCTCGGGGTTGGACCCTTTCTTGAAGACGATGAACCCGGCGTCTATTGGGAGGGGAATGTTAGTTCAATCCTCCCGCAAAAAGAGCTGCCACATCGCTATACAGTCCTGGCGGTGGTGTACATGCCTCTGTGCGACGTTACTGAGAATAACCTCCTCTGAGAAGCAGCATTCTGGCACGCCGTCTCCAATCTCCTCGCTCCGGCCCTGAGGGCACTGGCGCTCGATGTTGTGAACATGGCGCGCTGCACTGGGCCTGGGCTCCCCTCGGTTCTGCAGTGTTATATCGAAGTATTTGAGCCTCAAACTCGAACTTGGCTTAAGACGAACACCACCTGAAGCCGATGCCGTCGTTCCAATCCCACTTGCTGGTTGGCGGGTCAGAAAATTTTGTGGGGCCGCAGCCAGTCCCCTGTCACCCCACCACAGCAGCCCAGTTCCAGCCAATGAGAAGCCGCAATTCGGGGCTCAGATTCACCATTCTTGAACGTCTCTTCCCCAAGAGCAGCCGTGAAGGGGTGGTTGAGCTCAGTGTCGACCGCAAAACCCCCCCCGACACCCGCTGGTTAGCAGGACAGCAGACAAACCCCGCTCAAGATGAATGCCGCGCCTCTGGCCAGACGGCCTCTGAGCTGCCTCAAGTCTGGGCTTCGTCAGGCGAGACAGCAAAAGATCTTTTCCCGGTCCATGGCGACTCGGGCTGCTGCTACACCAAAAACACCATCACAAGTCCCAGATCACAACTTTTGTATGTTTTTTCCCCCCGTCCCTCCTTCAAACATACCCACCATATACTAATACTCGCCCCCACAGACCGACTAGTCGACAAAAAGTCCAAAACCCTCCGCTCCGCCTTCGCCATCTACCCCCCCACCCAAGCCGCCGCCGGCATCCCCCTCACCCCAGTGAAAACCACCAACCCCGTCGCCGCCCTCCACGACCTCCAAATCAAAAAGCTCGACCCCACCGGCGCCCGCACCGCCCTCTTCGCCCGCACCCGCGAGGCCGCCAAAGTAGGCGACATCCTCCTCGTCACCCACCGCCGCGGCGGCGAGCCCTTCGCCGGCGTCTGCCTTTCTATCCGCCGCGCCGGCATTGACACTGCGGTCCTCCTGCGCAACCACCTCGGCAAGGTGGGAGTGGAGATGTGGTTCAAGATTTACAACAGGAACGTGGCGGGCATCGAGATTGTCAAGAGGAGGCTGAAGAGGGCGAGGAGGGCGAGGTTGACGTACATGAGGAAGCCGAAGCACGACATGGGGAGCGTGGCGGAGTATGTCTCGGCTTGGCGGAAGAGCAGGAGGGTGTTCCAGACCAAGGGGCGAAGGGGAAGACGGCTGCTGCGGGGGCGAATGGGAAGGGCGGGGGGAAGAAGAAATAAGGGGGGAGAGAGGGGAAGGGAGGTGGTTGTTGTTGTTGGCAAATAGGGGAGTTGCCTGTGTATATCACTTGTGGAATATTGAGAAAAAGAGATTTCTTGTTCGGTTATGAAGCTACCTTTTGCTTGTCAGTGGGTTGAGTCGTGCTTGAATATTCAAGACACGAGGAAACTGGCTGCAAAACTGTTTAAGAAGTCCAATTGAAGACAACGGAGGTGTGTTTCGATCCTGAGCACTAATACAACCCAGGTTTCCGTTACCTTGATCACAAATCAATATATCAATATCCGAAAACTGGGTTCCGTGTGTGCTGTTCACATTCTCTACTACTTTCGTTATGCTACTCAAGAGCTGCCATCACTACAAACCAATGCTGGCCCAGCTTTAAATCCTTCAGATATTACGCTTGATATTCTGCTACTGACAGAAATCACACGGTAGTATCCACCGGCTTGATGGAGCTGCTAGACCTACATTCCTCCCCGGCAAAACATCCAAGGAAAAACAGCATCAGTGGTTTAGTGGTAAAATCCATCGTTGCCATCGATGGGCCCCGTGTTCGATTCACGGCTGATGCAATTCATTCTCCAACTTCCAAACTCATAAGAGTTTACATTTCATTTTGGGGGGTTTTTTCAGTTCATTTTTGATGTTCGAGAACATCCCAGTCATAGCTCTCTCTCTTTGCCGGTGTATAAGATCTTTTTTCACCTCGTCGCGTAGGAAAGGCAGTGATTTTCATACAGTCAAGATCTCCTCCCACTGCATAACACCAGAACCAGCAGAATAGGTAAGCTATAGCAACAAGCCCCCTGACATGCAAGCTAGCATTCACAGTTCAAACAAGTCTTTGGGAACTCAATTTCAGTCCTCATTCTTAAGACATTAACGGGAAAAAAAGAAATAAAGAAAAGGGCGGGGGGTTACATGTACAACTAACAGTTCCAAGGCAGCAAAAACACAAAGAACATGCTTCAAATTTTAGTCAAAAGATTTCAACCCAAACACGAGATACCTTTGACGTACAGACGTGAGCTCTTTTTTTTTAATTCAATTTGGCCTCGGTTGTGCGGGGATACTTCGTCGAAAGAGTGAGCAAGAGGGGATGATAGTTACCGAAAAGCAAACAAATAGGACTCTTAGTAGAACCCAGGCAGGCAAAACATCCGTTGTCTCTGCAGACTTAAAAATAGAGTAAAGAGCAATACCATACAAAGCTCTCTCTCTCAGAGATCCGCAACTTATGATCATATACAAAATCAACTGCAATTTCAGCGACTGAACCTGCCAAATGTCTTGTTTCTCTTCAGTTGAGAGTCAAAAAGGAAGACAAATGTTTGTGGGATGCGGAGCAGGAAAAAGACAAAAGATATGGGCGACCCCGGAATCGAACCGGGGTTTCTTCGGATCGTATGTGATATTCTTGCGAATAACCACAACGAAGCGTCCTGACCACTAGACTAGTCACCCGGTGAGGTATTGATTGATGCTGTTTGACTGCAAAGCTACCCCTCTTATAGGTGACTTCACCAACATAATTTATCAACCACTCTCCAACAACCACTCTATGTTGCTGCCACTCAACGACTACCTATAATTTGGCCGGCTGCAACACATTACACTCTCTTCATTCCTTCGTAAGCATGTCACAATAGCAATCTGAACTCCAATATACCCACAAGGTAAAAAGTCTCATTAATAATTACATTTTAACTGTTCTTTCATATACGTTCAAGGAGCGTAAGAATGCTATTATTTTCTTTCCCTCATCCCTCATCCCATCTCTCATATCCCATCACATCACCCCCATCATTTGTTCCCCTTACTCGCAAAACTTCCCACACTTCCCCTTGACATCCACATTCCTATTCACCGCCAAGCAGTCATTATACTGCGCCTTGCACTTATCCTTCGCCCCAGTAAAGTTATCCGTCCACCCGCCCCAGAACGGGAACGTCCTCTTCTCCATCTGCCCAAAGTAGCTATCCCCTCTGGGCTTATTTCTCCCGTTGCTCCTGCACCCCTCGGCATAAACATCCAGGCAGTCCTCGTACTGCTCCTTGCAGGCGTCCGCGCAGGCATTGTTGGGGGTGCTGCGGGAGTACTTCTTGCACTTGCGGGTGTCGGGGTCCGAGTAGCGCTTGAAGGGGAACGAAGGCCAGTCCGAGACGAGATCGTTGCAGGTCACGACGGGGAGCTCGATGCCGCCGACGGGCTTGCCGGGCTTGTACCCGTGGTGATTGTTGGTGGGCTGCTTGCAGAGGTTGGTCGGGGTGGGGGTGGGGCAGATGGTGGTGGTGGCAGGCTTGGTAGTCGTCGTGGCCGGCTTGGTTGAGGTGGGAGCGACGGTAGGGCAAGCGGTGGTCACGGTGACAGTAGTGGCGGGGTTGCCGCCCTTGGGAGGCTTCTTGCCGAAGAAGTCGCGCTTTTTGCCCTTGGGGGTCTTGACGCAGTAGTCGTCGACGTCGGCGCACCACTGGCCAAAATTGAAGCACTCAAGCGACTGGGGGAAGCCGGCGTTCTTGAAGCAGGAGGCTACCTGCAACAAGCAGTTGGACCAAGCAGCCTTGCAAGACTTGAGGTCATTATCCCAGTCGGGGATAGGGTTAGAGCACCACTTGCCGCATTTGTACTCACACTTGGGAGGGATGACGGTGGTGGTGACGCAGACGGAGCTGGTGGTGGAGGTGGTGCTCACGGGGGCGGTGGTGGAAGTGGTAGGGGGGAGAGTGGGAGGAGGAGTGTTAGTGGTGCTGGTGGACTCCTCAACAGTGCAGGTGGTTGACTCCTCAACAACGGGGGCGCTAGTCGAGGACTCGGTGGTGACAGTGGTAGCAGGAGGGAGCTCCGTGCTGGAAGAAACAGGGGGCTCATAGCCGCAAGGCTGAAGAGACAAGAGCTCGTCGGCGGCGTACAGGTTCAGGCGACCAGGGCCGCCGCACTTCTCGTCAGAGGCACCGTTGCAGGCCATGTTGCACTCAGAGGCGGGAGCAGAGTAGGTGTCATTGCCAATGACAACGCCGCAGTAGCATTCACCTGTATCTCATGTCAGACTTGCAAGTATTGTCGGGAGCAACTCGGGTTGATACATACCGCCATACTCAGTACCAGCAAAGGGGAAGCCGCCGGCATGGCAGGCTTGCAAGCACTTCTCAGTGGTCATAGTAGCGCCATCGACTGAGTCCTGGCGATAGGAAAGGGCTCTTCCTTGGGAAGAGTTGTCGGTCCAGCATCCAAGAGGATCGTAGTCGGCGATGGTTGTCTCCTCCACGGGGATGAAGGTGGGATCCTGGTAGATGGAGAAGACGCCGTTGGCACCACAGATCTGGGAGTCATCACCCTTACAGGGGTAACTGCACTCAGACTCCTCGGTGAGGCTGCCCTTGACGGTTTGACCGCAATAGCAGACACCATAGTAGACAAGACCAGCATAACGATAGCCGTTGCCCTTGCACTCGGCAACACACTTCTCGACGGTCATGTCATCAGGAGACGCCGGGCTCCGGTACGGGAGGATTTGTGTGCCGCTGGCCTCGGCGAAGCACCCCGAGTAAACGAAAGGCTGAAAGGGATCGAGGCATGGTGGGAGGAAGACCTCAGTCGCCGCAACACGACCAACCAAGGTGGCAGCCGCGAGGGCTACCACGGCCTTGAAACTGGCCATTTTCAACAAATTCGAAAAGGAACGAACGAATCGACAAGTAAAGAGGCCTTGTCGTAGATTAGGTGATTAGATATTACTGTCGTGTTCGCGGCTGAGGAAGACCCTGAAGAGCAAGGAAAAAGAGAGCGTATCGTCGAGCCGGGGAAGCTGGCCTTATGTAAATAATATCCTCCCCATCCCATCAACGACGTGACATGGAAGCATCCGCACACTATTGGATCCATCGTCGACCCCCAGCACATGGCAGGTGGGCCAAGCCATCACAGTGGTAGCGCTTCGACACCAGGGTCAAGGCGAAGGAAACGCAAAAGCTTGGCCCCAAAGAACCAATATCCGATTTCCGGGGCCTCTTCGATCGTCTGTTTTTGGCAACATTAGCAAGCCCAAAATCCCCGGATCAGGCACCTGTAGACGAGCGGCGGGATCATAGAGCGGCAGAGCTTCAAGAGGTACCCGGGAAGAGAAGCCTCATCGACCCATTCTATGCCGCCACAGCACATGTCTCTGAGACATCTTTCTTGTCCCTGAGGGAGGCACGTCAACAACGGAAAAGCAGCCCTTGATCTCTTAGGAACCCAAAATAAACCACGAAAAGAGAAGAGAGAAGGCTGCTCGGGTTCGGGCAGTCGGTTCCTGAGTAGAGAAGCCAAGCAGACCAATGTCACTCTCTTGACGTGTGCTCCTTCAGCTCGGGGACCTAATAAGTGGGCAGGTTGCAGTCATCCGCAGAGGTTGCAGTTGTTGCACAGAGCGCGTGTGGAGATGAAGAGAAAGCAACAATCAGGCGAACCGCCGTCCCAAAGAAGAAAAGTCGTCGTCTCTGAGAACCCTGTCATTGGCCCAGCGTACCTGCAGCTCCCGTTCTCCACACCCGCTTTGGCCAGACCACCGACCCTTGCCAGCTTGGACCCTGAGCGCATCGACCCCCTTTTTGTCTGCATTTCAAGAGAGAAGGGGGAACTGATGTCAGCGACGGCATCTCACAGGAGATTTTGAGCAAGCAATGAGCATTTGGACCTCTTCATTCGCTTTCTGCTCTTGATTTTCCGGGGAAGAAACAGTCACGACAGAGACGACCCAAGATGGCGGGTCTCCACGATGAAGGCCCCTGAAATTGATCAACCGCTACAGCACATCCTCGATGACCCCACTGGACCACGATTCAAGCTCTTCGATCGCTCTCAGAACAATGCCGAGCGTTTTGTATTTTCTTTCTTCGGGCTCTGCTCGGCCTCCCGTCAGCTGACAGACATCAATATATTTTATGGACACATCGACAGATGTTTGCTCGTGAGACACGCGAATTTTGACGAGCCAGAGGCCTATTGGAAAAGCTCGCCTACCAGTTCTCAGCTGGAACTGCACCTAGGTACTGGCGTTGTGTCGTTGGTGACCAAATCCTACCCCAACTACTGCAATATCTCCTGTCATGCAGACGCAGATGCAGACGCCAATTTCCGCTCTTCCTTTTTATTTTCACGAGATATTTGTACGACGAGAACAACCAAAAGAGGGGAATAGAACGGCCCCAACTCTGGGTTGACAGCACACAGACCAGCGAGGAGAGGAACCATCACCATGATCTTGCCTTTCAGCTTTAATCTACACAGCGGTCAAAGACCCCCAATTATATATGAGCTCGTCCACCATCTTCATCCACAAACCCACCTTCCAACCCACCAAACTATCAATTTCTTAGGGCTGAGTTATGACATGTCACCAGACTCCTCTCTCTTCTCCTCTGCATCATCACCACAATCACCACCACAAAACAGCTCTCCTCTTCTTTTTTTCCGTCCCAGCCTATCCGTAATGAACGATGTTTGTGACCCAACCCGCACCCCAAGGATCCCCTCCTCCTCTGCAAGCCCGATCGTGATTGAACAGCGGCTGGCTTGCCACACTTCCGATGTGGCTGCGGGGTAGCACGACGCCTCTCATCACAAAAGTAAACAAGGTGCCCTGCCCATGCATACGAGCTAACCACCACCCCCTTCCATTTCCACTTCCTGCTTCTAGCAGATCCGTTTTTCAGGCGAGCAAGGGTTTATTACCAGGGTCTTGGGCGTTGGTTAGCTTGCGCAGAAAAAAAATAAGCCGAACAACCGAGCTATCACAAGTGCAACGTTTTTAGTGCTTCACTTTGGGCGCCGTTCACGAAAGACAAGGGGCCGTGTGCACTACGGAGTATAACCATCTAAACAGCCGAAAGCGAGAGGGAAAAAACGTCTTCATTTATTCAAGAAGCCATCTTCAGCTTGCTTCTAGCGTGAATTCTTTCGCCACTAAAGAAGAGGAAGATATCCACAAACCTCAAAACTCACGTTCAGGAGAAACAATATTTCATAGCTTATCCCAACTCCTTCCTTATCATCAAGGAGCCTCTTCAATAACTCCACTCTCCTGCCGTACGCTACTAGCTGTCCAACTGAAACAGATCTTTTTCCCCATCAGCCACAAAAAAAGAATGTTGTTTTGCTGTGTCCTCCGTACAGAGAATACCAAAGCAAAACTACCCAAGAACAAATGTTTCAAACCAACTTCTCCATCTGTCTGTAAACCATCATATCCACCGTCTCACCTGAAACATTTTCGTATCTTTATATACCTACACATACCCATACCTAAAGAGAGTCTGTGCCCAGGCACAGCCAACAACAGCGGCAATGTGTTGCAACAGCAAGGAAACTTCCCAACTTCGAAACTCATCCTCACCAACAGGGTACACCATAGAGAAGGCAGTAATGAAGTAAAAAAAATGCACACCATTCCCCAGCAAAAGGATCGATAAACCACCATAACAGCA